CATTAAAGCTGTGAGCGAGCGACTGGGCTGTCACATCAGTTAGTTTGCTCCGGAGCCCTCCTTCCCGAGCGGAGACAAAAATGTGTGAACCGGAGGCTAAAAAACTGTGAGCGGGCTCACACTCACTCAGCACTAGTTTTGACAGGTTTCTAGTCCTGAATGGTCTTAGAGGAAACCCTGGGGGGACAGGATGGTCTTTTGGGCAGAGGAACTCTTCTGAATTGTGGGTGCCTAAGTTCCTGCCGGCCTAGCAGTTCGAAAGCAAGAAATTGCAAGTAGATAAATAGGTACCAGGAGTTGTGGTGGCTCAAGTGGTTAAGACGCTGAACTGCAGGCTGTGGAAGGTGGGTAGTTCAGCAGTTCGAGACCCGGGTGCCGCGTGACGGAGTGAACTAGTCCATCTCTAGTTCCAGCTCCTGCCAACCTAGCAGTTCGAAAGCAAGAAATTGCAAGTAGATAAATAGGTACCACTTCGGTGGGAAGGGAACAGCGTTCCGTGCGCCTCGGCGTCTAGTCATGCCGGCCACATGACCACGGAAACGTCTTCGGACAGCGCTGGCTGTTCAGCTTGGAAACGGAGATGAGCACCGCAACCCTAGAGTCGGATTCGACTAGCTTTCGAGCAAGGGAACCTTTACCTTTAAATAAGACGACCAAGGAAGTCCAGGGTTTGCTACGCAGAGGCAGGCATTGGCAAAACCACCTCTGAATGTCTCTTGCTTTGACCTGGATGTTCCATCCTAGCCCAGTCTTGTCGGATCTTGGGCGCTAAGCAGGGTCAGCCCGGGTTAATATTTTGTTGGGAGATCCACCAAGGAAGTCCAGGGTGGCTATGCAGATGTCATCTGATCCGGGAAGCTAAGCAGGGTCGGCCCTGGTTGGCACTTGGATGGGAGACCGCCGAGGGAGTCCAGGGTGGCTACGCAGAGCCAGGCGATGGCAAAATACCTCTGTTTGTTCTGACCTGGATGGCCGACATTAGCACAGTCTCACTGTACCTTGGAAGCTGTGTCCCCTCCACAGCAAACTGATTTATGCAGCGGCCAAATCGCTCGCTCACAACTTCAATGCCAGCAGCTCACAAAGTAGGATTTTTGCTCGCAAGACTCCACGGCTTAGAGGGCGCATTGCTTGGAAGCTAAACGGGGTTGGCCCTGCTTAGTCCTTGGATGGGAGACCACCAAGGAAGTCCAGGGTCGGTGTGCAGGGGCAGGCAAGGGCCAACCACCTCTCTTTAGATCTGCCCTGACCCGGTTGGCCCAGCCCAGCCTTCGCTCTTCAGGTCTGGGAAGCTAAAACAGGGTCGGCCCTGGTCAGTACTTGGATGGGAGACGACCAAGGAAGTCCAAGGTTGCTACGCAGAGGCAGGCAATGGGAAACCACCCTCTGAAGGCCCCTTGCCTTGAAGACCCTGCAGGGTCACCCAAACCGCCTGCAACTTGGCAGCCACAAGGGCAGCAGAAGAGTTTGCAGCGGTTGGGACAACAGTGGCCCCTTTATGCGCATTGCTGTGGTTGAAGGGGAACGATCCTCACATAGAGGTGCTTGTTGCAGACCCAACAATGCATCTCCGTGTGTTCGAAGAGAGAGAATGCCGGGCAACATCTCCTCTGCTGTGTACCTCTCAGCCCTTCAGCTGTGTGCATTGCGTAGTGCGTGCAGGGAGGGCCTTGCCTGTGCACCAAACGGGTTGCTGCATGCCATGCTGGATGCGTCAGGCTGGCGAGACGGGTTTTGGAGCGAGTGGGGAAGCAGTTCTTAGCACGCAACAGCCCCAAACAGCGAGAGAGAGAAGCTGCTTCCTATCCCCTTTCCGGTACTCCCAATTCTCGTTTGCTTTGTTGATGAAGTCAGTGTTGGGCCTTTCTACGGTGTGTCCAAACTTGTAATAATATTTCAGCCATAAAATAAAATGGATGCTTATTTTCAAAATGTCTGTATCAGACTTATTTAATTTTTAAATAAAGCATGAAGGAGCAAGGGGAGGGGAGGGGGAAAGTAACCCCTCGTCCTCAATGCATCTCTCAAGATGGGGGGGGGGAGATGTGGCAGAGTCTCTGCCTTGCATGCAGAAGGTCCCAGGTTCAAGCCCTGGTGTCTCCAGTTAAATAGGACCAGAAAGTAGGGGATGGGAAAGACCTCCGCCTGAGACTCTGGAGAGCTGTGAAGAGGGGCTGTGGCTCAGTGGAAGAGCCTCTGCTTGGCATGCAGAAGGTCCCTGGTTCAATCCCCAGCGTCTCCAGTTAAAAAGGGCCAGGCAGGAGGTGATGGGAAAGACCTCCACCGGAGACCCTGGAGAGCTGTAAAGAGGGGTTGTGGCTCAGTGGCAGAGCCTCTGCTTGGCATGCAGGAGGTCCCAAGTTCAGCCCCCGGCATCTCCAGTTAAAAAGGACCAGGCAGCTGGTGATGGGAAAGACATCTCCACCTGAAACCCTGGAGAGCAGCTGCCAGTCTGAGTGGGCAATACTGACAGTGATGGATCATTGGTCAGTATAAGGCAGCTTTGTGTGTGTCTGTGTCTTCAGTTTGGTGTCGTGGTTAAGAGCGTGGACTCCAGTCTAGAGAACCGGGTTTGATTCCACACTCCTCCAAATGCAGCTGCTGGTGTGACCTTGGGTCAATCAAAGTTTTCTCAGGGCTGTTCTCTCAAGAGCAGTCCTTGAAGAGCTCTCTCAGCCCCACCTACCTCAGAGGGTGTCTGTTGTGGGGAGAGGAAGGAGATTGTAAGCTGCTCTGGGACTCCCTTGGGTAGTGAAGGGCGTGGTATAAATCCAATCTCCTCCTCCTCCTCCTCCTCTGAATTCATAAATCCAGCATAAAATGAGAGCAGAGTTTAGGCTGATTTGGGAGCCCAGAGACTGCCAGTGGTGTCTCTGAGCACGTACAGAGTGCCTCACCCATCTGGGACTCCTAAGAGGGCACAATCCTCCATCCAGCTAGGCTTGACCCCGGCACCTTTTCTTTCTCCCATCAGAAGCGGCGAGTGGAACACGCTCTCCCGAGCGCGGAAGAAGTCTCCTCCTCCGGCGGAGGGTTGAGATTTCCACGCCATGTCCATCGCGGTGGAAGCGGGCGACGACCCGTCGGGGCGGATGACGGCTGAGGGCATTGTCATGAACACGCGGCAGGTGATGAAGGGCCTGGAGGCCCTGCGGAGCGAGAACTGGAGCATCCGCCAGCGGCTCCAGGAGGCCTTGCGGAAGGAGGGGCAGCTCCGGAGCCAGAGGGAGGAGGCGGCCGTGGAGGCCCTGGACTTGCAGGCCCTGGAGCTGCTGGAGGAGAAGCACCACCTGGTCTGCCAGAGCCTCGAGGGGATTGAGCTGGGCATCGCTGAAGCGCAGGTACTGGGCCGGGCGGAAGCCGGTTGCCAGGGGAACCGCAGCGATTGGCCAAGCTACTGTGACATCACGGGGGGCTTCCGGGCTCTCTGGCTGTTCAGGGCAGGCCGCTGCACCTTCTCAGGTTCCACCAGGGGAGGTTTGGCTCCAAGGGATGCTCCCACGTGGCCCTGGTATGGATGCCAGGCTCCAGGCGGGACCTGGGGATCTCCCTCACCCGGAATTACAAGCCGTCTCCAGATTCCAGAGATCAGTTCCCTTGGAGGCAATGGATGCCCACTGGGGTCCCTGCCTTCCTGAGGCTCCACCCCCAAAGCTCCAGGCGTTCCTCAACGTGGAGCTGACAACGCCACCCTGCACCCCCCCACACACACACACCACTGGCCAGGGAGTATCTGACAACCCTACAAGCAGGGCTTTTTTTGTAGAAAAAGCCCAGCAGGAACTCATTAGCATAGAACTCATTAGCATATTAGGCCACACCCTGACAGCACAGCTCATTGGCACATTAGGCCGCACCCCCATGTTACCAGAAGTGTGGTCATCCAGCCACACCCACCTTTTGCTTCTTATTCTGTTTACCTTGTTTGCTGTCAAAACCCAGGGCCTTTTTTTGTAGCAGGAACTCCTTTGCATGTTAGGCCACACACTCCTTTGCATGTTAGGCCTATTATGCTAATGACTTCCTGCTGGGCGTGGCCAACTTGGGACACTCCTTTGACTCCATTCCTGTGCGTTCCTGCCCCAAAATAGCCCTGCCTACAAGACATGGGAGCGGTGAAGATGTGGGGCCAGAGGGCAAAGACCCCAAAATAGCCCTTCCTACAAGACATGGGAGCGGTGAAGATGTGGGGCAGGAGGGCAAAGCGGCCCATGAAGTCCGGGGGGGGGGGAAGGGATGTTTGGGGGTGGCTTTTTAACTCCCCCCCCTTTTATCTGAGGGTGTTCTTAGCGACAGTCAAAAGCCGCCTTGAACCACCGGGCAAGGTGGGGTGGAAATGTTTTAATGAGCAAATGAAATGCAAAATAAGCGGAGGGGGAAGCGGCTGAGAATGGGAGGGATGGGACCAGGGGCGGATGAAGGCTCGCGGGTGCCCTGAGCACTGACCCATCTTGGTGCCCCCCCCTCCTTCCCACACTGACCCCCAGTCCATTTCAGTGGTTCAGTGTACAAACAAAGCTTTTCCACCCTTGCCCCAACTTTGTGGTGCCCCCTTTGGCCCCGGTGCCCTAAGCACGTGCCTAGTCCGCTTCATGGTTCATCCGCCCCTGGATAGGACACGCCCCTTGCCCCAGGGGGGCAGGACGCCGCCCACTTCCCTTCTCCTCTGCCCCCAGATCCCTCCTCCTCCACCCCCAGATGATGATCGCGCTGTCCTCCCACATCGGGGCCCTGGAGGCCGAGAAGCAGAAGCTGCGGGCCCAGGTGAAGCGGCTCAGCCAGGAGAACGTCTGGCTCCGGGAGGAGCTCTCCATCACCCAGCTGCGGCTGCAGCAGAGCGAGGAGACGGTGGCCCAGCTGGAGGAAGAGAAGAAGCACTTGGAGTTCCTCAACCAGCTCAAGCAGTACGACCCCAGAGAGGACCAGGTGAGGCCTTCCCTCTCCCACACGCACGGTGGTGGCGGGGCCCGTCCGGAGCGGCAGAGGGGCGGGGGCTCAGAGACCTTGGCTGTCTTGGGACGCGTCTCCGGGCAGCGTCTCGGCACCAAAGATTTTTATTTATTTATCTTTCATGTTTGTATCCCGCCCATCCCGCGAGCGGGCTCAGGGCGGGGTCCCATCACATCAAATGATACAGTAAGACGAAGAAGAAGAGATTGGATTGATACGTCCCATCATCTCAAATAATACAGTAAGACGACGAAGAAGAAGAGATTGGATTGATACCCCGCCCTTCACTACCCGAAGGAGTCTCAGAGCGGCTTACAGTCTCCTTTCCCTCCCCACAACAGACCCCCCTGTGAGGTAGGCGGGGCTGAGAGAGCTCTGACAGAAACTGCTCTTTTCCAAGGACAGCTCTTATCAGAACTATGGCTTGCCCAAGGTCGTCCAGCCAGGTGCAAGTGGAGGAGGAGTGGGGAATCAAACCCGGCTCTCCCAGATTAGAGTCCGCGCACTTCACCACCACACCAAACTGGCGCACTTAGCCACTACACCAAACCGTGCACTTAACCACTGCACCAAGCTGGTGTAAAGCACAACCAAACTGGTTTAAAGCACAATAAGACATTCACATTATAAACATTTAAAATCAGTAGTTAACGCTGCCGGTGAAAATTCTGGCCCATTCACACCGATTGGGTATGGCCGGTTACTGGTTAGATGGGTGGCCAGTAGGTAGGAGACGGCAACCTCGGGGAGGCCACACGTGGACACCCTCTGCCTCAGCCAAAGGCCTAGTGGAAGAGCTCCATCTTGCAGGCCCTGCGGAACTGAGTGATGAGGAGCGCGTTCCGCCAAGTGGGAGCCAGGAGAGAGGAGGCCTCGGCTCTGGTCAAGGCTGGACGGGCGTCTTTTGGGCCAGGGACCACCAGGAGATGTTGATTACTAGAGCATAAAGCTCTTCGAGGCCTACATGGGAAGAGGTGGTCCCTTCGATACGTTGGTCCCTAGATCTATTTGGGGGCTTCTCTCTGGTGTCGACATGCGGAATGTTTTTCAAAAGGCATCGCCTGGTGTCTTGGGGGGCAGCGGGAAGTTTCGCCAGGCGGGGAGTTTGACACGGCCCGTGTGGTTGCAAGCTACGCTCTGCATTCACGAGGTCTAGGAACTTGATTATTAAAAAAACGAAACGGCAGCGGAGGTGGCCCAGGGATATCCTCTTCCCCGTTCCTCTGTCTCTCTGCAGGCGGAGAAGGAGGACCTGGCCGACAGGAAGGACACCCTCTCTCCCCTTTTCCCTGGTGAAGATGACGACCAGAGGCACGGTGGGTCTGGGGAGGCCGTGGTGATGTCCTGGGGTGGGGACACTCTTCAGAGAGCTGGGAGCAAGGGTTCAGGAGTCACCCCTGAAGGAAGGCCTGCATTGGAAGTGGGGAGGTGGGGGTGAAGCAAAGCCCGCTGGAGTGTAAAATGGGGACCGTCTGGAGCGGCTTCCTATGCAGAACTGGTCGATTGCAGAGACGTAGAACGGCCCTTCGGAGAGACCGGGTCTTCTCAGGGCGTGAGCCAAGTTGGTGGGTTGGCTGCAAGTGGTGAATTGGGCGGGGGTGGTGGTGGTAGGTCTTTGCATCCACACCTGTTGAGCGAGAGCGGGACCCAGGCCTAGAACCGCTGTTTGCAAGAAGAAGGCCCCCGGTTCGGTCTGCAGCAGCTCCATGTCCAGGGGCTCTGGGAACGCCTGCTGGGAAAAGCCACGGCGTGGCCCGAGACCCTGGAGAGCCACTGCCAGTCTGAACAAGCCATGCTGGGCAAGGTGAGTGTGAGTCCAGTGTTCCCTCTAAGCTGAGTTAGTGTGAGCTAGCTCACAGTTTTTCAGACTCCGGCTCACAGGTTTTTGTCTCAGCTCAGGAAGGGAGGGCTCCAGAGCAAACTGATTTGTGCAGTAGCCAAATAGCTCGCTCACAACTTTGACGCCAGTAGCTCACAAAGTAGAATTTCTGCGCACAGGACTACACAGCTTAGAGGGAACATTGATGTGTGACTCTGGGCAGAGTGGAAGATCAGCCAAGTCAAGCAGAGGAGGAGGAGCCCCAAACACCCCTTTCCCAAAGCTGGAGTGAGAAACACAGGGTAAAATACCAACGCCGGGGGCCTGAACGCTCAACTTGGGGCTTGAGCCTGAAGTGAGAGACGCCACCTTTTGCGCCCTGAGTGGAGGCAGGCTGTGAGAAATATTGCCTGCCTTTGCTCCCGGAGGCGAGTCCCCCCCCCCTTCCCTCCGTCTGTGCCGAGTGTCTCTGAGCTTTTTGACCCACGGTCAGGGAGAGAATGTCTGGGAGGAGCCAATTATCCGCCGGTAATCCAATCTCTCTCCTAATGCCCCTCTCTGGGTGCCGAAGGGGAGAGACAGTTTGCAGCTCTGCGCCACCTCCCCCCTGGTGACGGCGAAAGGCACTGGCTGATAGGGTCCAGTCGGGTGCCCAGCCTCCAGTTGGTACCTGGGGATCAGCTGGAATTACAACGGATCTCCAGGCGACACAGTTCAGCTCACGGGGAGAAAATGGCTGCTCTGGAGGGTGGACTCCGTGGCCTTATACCTCCACCAAGGCCCCTCCCCTCTTCAAACCCCACCCTCTCCAGCCTCCACCCACAAATCCCAGGAGCCTCCCCAACCCTTTGGGAGGGGAGAACCCCTGGATCTTCTCTGCTAACAAACCTCTGAAGTTCTGGGGGTCCTCTGGATGCATCTCCTGGGAGGCCAGAAGTGTTGGCTCTTTGTTTTCACACACATACACCTGCCTTTGGGTGTTTTTCCCCCCAGGAAGTCCGAGCGCGGCAGCTCAGCAAGGGGGTTACGAGATCCCCGCGCGCCTCCGGACCCTGCACAACCTGGTCATCCAGTACGCCTCTCAGGGGCGCTACGAAGTGGCCGTGCCCCTCTGCAAGCAGGCGCTGGAGGACCTGGAGAAGACCTCCGGACACAGCCACCCGGACGTCGCCACCATGCTGAACATCTTGGCCCTGGTGTATCGGTGAGATGCTTTGCGCCGGGACGCGTAATTGCACACTGGCAATTAGGCTCATCCGTTCTGCCCAGGTTCATCTGTACCAGGGGTGTGGAATTCATTTGTTACGAGGGCCAGGTCTGACATAAATGAGACCTTGTTGGGCCGGGCCGCGTGTCTCATAAAAGGTAACGCCTGGTAGCGGAGAGATAAACTTTATAAAGGACACAAACACAAAGGGGTGTTTTTTTAACTTAAAATAAAAAACATACTTAGGCTCACACGGAGCATTAGGCACGCTAGAGAGACGGAAGATAGGCGGATTTTCCGGGTGTGATCTCACCGCCACATCTGGGAAGCATAGAGCTCCCGTGGCTCACCCGAGGCTTCACTCCGAAGATGCAGGGTAAAAAACTAGTACCTCCGAGGTACTAGTTTCCGGAAACCGCGGGGCATGGGCAGGCGTCTGATCGCGTTTCTGGTGGTAGTTCCGGCGCCCGCCCATGTCCCCTCGCAAAAAGGGTTTTTTTCCCCCAAGTCTCCACGGATGCGCACAAGCACACTTTAGTTTTTTTTAAAAAAAACAACCCTGTTTGCCCCGCGGCCCCGCTTCTTTGCAGCACCACAGGATTGTCCTGTGATCGGCACCTCCCCCCTAACCACGGGACCTCCACGGGACGTCTGCTCGCGCATCAGCGCGTTATTTTGCCCCGGGGCAAACAGCCACGCCCCCCCCCGCATTTTCCTGCCAGTGTGACTGGGGCCTTAAAACATCAGCACTCTTGGAATATTTTGTTGATTTAACAGTGTCCGATAATGGACACCTCTTGCTCTGAATTATTGCATCAAAATGTCTGTGCTGTTGCAGTCTTGAGTCTGCTGATCAGGTGTGTCTCTGCAAGCTGCAAACCTACGATGACGCAGCAGCAGCAGCAGAACTGGAAGAAGAAGCAGAAGACAGCCAGTTCTACTGCAGGCCTGACCGAAGCTCTCCGGGGGCCTGATCCGGCCCGCGAGCCGCATGTTTGACGTCCCTGATCTATACCATGCAGCTGAGCTGGAGAGTTGGGTCTGAATCCCCGCAACCCACCTAGCAATGGGGGTGGGGAGAGACCTTTCTCCCGCTGAGACCCAGGAGAGCCGCCGGCAGCTTGGGCAGACATAACGGAGTTAGGTGGATTAGATGGTCTGAGTCTGCCGCTTCCTGGGCTCACGCTGTCGAGTTATTTATAAAGTGCTAGACGTTACTATGCGGCAAAAATGGACGGCTTTCCGTACAGGCTCGATACCACACACACAAAAAAAACACGGGCGGCAAGGAATACAACGGGACAGCAGGCATCCCAGTGGTCCAAAATGCCACTCCCTCGTGCCCCATTCAAGGGATCGGGGGGTGTCCCCCATGCGGCGACGGCCTCGTCCCGGGGGCTCCCTGTCTCCGGCGGCAAGCCGAGGCCTGTTTGCTCATTACCCGGTCCTTCTGCTTGCGCCGCAGGGACCAAAACAAGTACAAGGAAGCAACGCTGAACGACGCCCTCGACATTCGGCAGCAGACTTTGGGGGTGGAGCACCCTGCGGTGAGTGCCAGACGACGGTGGGCAGGGGGTGCCCTGGGTGACAGTCTCCTCGGAACGACTGGCTAAGCGGGAGCCCCGAACGCACCAGGGACTATGCATGTCTTTTTTCAGTATTCAGAAATGCTTCCTTGGAAAGAACGTGCAGCATGGTTTGCCTGACCCCGCCAAGGGTTTTCAGGACGTGGGTGGGGCTTTGGCCCAGCAAGGTGTCTGATTGGCCGTTGGAGAGTTGACCGGCTGTGCGGATTTTCCTGACCGAAGGTCAGCTGCGGCAGCCATTTTGTGACAGGCCCTGCCTCCTGCGGCGGCCATTTTGAGGCTGTTGTCAGAGTTCCAAAGGGGCCCACAGAGTCTCAAAAAGGTTGGGGGCTCCTGGCCCTTACTCATGTCCTCTTTCTTCCTGGCAGGTGGCCGCCACCCTCAACAACCTCGCTGTGCTCTATGGCAAGCGTGGGAAATACACGGAGGCGGAGCCGTTGTGCAAACGGGCCTTGGAGATCCGCGAGAAGGTAAAGGCCCCTCCCGGCTTCGGTCGCAAGGCATTGTGGGTGTTCCGAGCGGAAGCAACCGTCTTGTGAGCCCAGTTTGAAATGGGGGGGGTATCTGTCTAGGCAAGGGTCATTTTTAGAAAAAGAGGTAGGAGCTCATTGGCATAACTCATTAGCATTACTTATTTGCATATGCCACACCCCCTGACATCACTGGAAGTGTATCAGAAGGCAACACCCACCGCTCAGGCTCCACTGGACTGTTTGGGATTGCTAGCTATGGGGGGGGGGATGTGCAGATCTGTCCTCGCAGAGGAGGGAGAGCTTGTACCTGAATAAACCTTGGTCTTAAAGGTGCCACTGGACTGTTTTGGGCTGGGGGGAGCTCTGCAGCTTACCTGGCTGCTTCCTGCTCTGACTGAGGGCTGCTGGGAGCAGGGGGTGGGGCTTGTTGCATATGCCCGCCCCCTGGGCTCTTTACTGCCGGAGCTCCGCTCCTGCGCGCTCCTGCAGGAATTATACTGAGTCAATGATTGGACGGGAGAGTTAGATATTATAGAAGACCCACTGCTCCATGAATATCTTCAGCTAAGGAGCTATTTCTTTGAAGTGGTAGATAGAATCACAGAATCATAGAATCACAGAGTTGGAAGGGACCAGTAGAGGCCATCTAGTCCCACCCACCCCCGCTCAATGCAGGATCACCCTAGAGCATCCCTGACAAGTGTTTGTCCAGCCGCTGCTTAAGGACTGCCAGGGAGGGGGAGCTCACCACCTCCCCAGGCAGCTGATTCCACTGCTGTCAAAACGTTTTTCCTAGTATCCAGCCGGTACCTACCTTCCCGCCCTTAATTTAAGCCCATGATTGCAAGTCCTCTCCTCGGCTGCCAACAGGAACCGCTCCCTGCCCTCCCCTAAATGACAGCCCTTCAGATACTCCAAGAGAGCCATCCTGTCCCCCCTCAGCCTCCTCTTCTCCAGACTGAACATTCCCAAGAAGTCCCTCAGTCTCTCCTCGCAGGGCTTCTTGGTTTCCAGGCCCCCCGATCGTCCCCATCGCTCTCCTCTGCACCCGCTCCGTTCTGTCCACATCCACAGGTGCTCTCAAATGAGGCTTAACCATCCAGGTTTGTGGGAGGTCACCCTGAGTTCTGTAAGGGCTGTGCCAAGACGTAGCAAGCCGGAGTATCCCTTGCAGGGAGCAAGCCATTAAAGTCTGTTGCAGGTGACAGACACCCGGATATTACCCTGTGCGGAACAGCTTTAGAATCATAGAATCACAGTGTTAAGAGTTGGAAGGGACCTTGCAGGTCATCTAGTCCAACCCCTTGCACACTGCAGGAGCGTAGCCGAAAGACAGCCCTACAACATACCCGAAAGAGGGTCGTCCAGCCTCCGCTTGGAAACGTCCAGCGAAGGAGCCTCTACCACCTCCCGAGGCAGACGGTTCCACTGCTCAACC